GGCGCCCAGAACTGGACGCAGTACTCCAGCTACGGCCTGACCCGTGTCGCGTAGAGGGGCAGAATCACCTCCTTGGACCTGCTCGGACCTACTTGGACATAGCAAACAGCAGGAAAAATAAACCGGCCACGAGCAAGGCCGGGTGGGTTGTTTGGCTGAACCGAAGTTCACAACCAAAATCGGGAAACATTTATGAGAGAAGAAAGCGGGAGAGCAGAGGTACAACTCTCTAAAATGTCCAAGGTTCCCACCTCCGGGCTGTCTCTTGCTTCAGAGCACAGAGTAGGTGGAAGCGAGCTTGTTGGTTCTAACCGTGTCTCACTTCTGGACTGCTCTTGTGCTGTCTTTGGAAACCGAGAGAGTTGTGAAAACAGCTTAATGCCATGGTTACTTGAATCCGAGGCAACTTGCAGTCTAAGGCAACCTTGTACATGGAAAATGTATACATTCGTTAGACTTTTTCATGTATAGAATCTAATTAGCAGAAGGTTGTCTTAAATTTATTCACCCTGACTACTGCAGTGGGGAAAGCATTGTGTGTGTGTGTGTCTGTGGGGTGGGGTGGCAAGTGGCCTGACCCCCTACCTGTTGTCCACCTCCACCAACTTGTACCTCCTGGAGCCATTCCCCCCTCCCCCAGTGCCTGTGTGGCCCAGCGCCTGCTCCCCTCCTCCTCGCTGCCTGTGCCTGTCCTTCCTTCCTCCCCTCCCACCGCACTTACTGTCAGTTGTGGTTCTGGCTCAGGACTGGGAGGACAAGGTAGCTCTGACCTGGGCCAAGGTCAGAGCTGCAGCAGCTGCCTGCTCTCCGCCCCCCACCGGCCTTGTACTCAAATCCAAGATGGGGCTCTCCCCCATGTTGAATGGTGGGGGAAACCTCATCCTGGATTTCAGTAAATAGAGTAGTTTCCCTAGTGTTTAAACATAGTGGGGTCCTCAAAAGCCTTTGTGCACTAGGAAGGGATTCTTGTAAGCGCTCTTATCTGCTCCCATACACTGCACCATTCACTCCCTTGGCTAAAGTACAAAGTGTATCTCCCGTGTAAAGCACTGTTGGCTGGAAGAAAGGAGATGCATTAGTTAATGGCTGAACTACAACACCATTTGAAGACTCATATTTCTGGGTAGTTCTCTTGAATGCTGTAGCAAACTGCTCCAAATTTGGGGAAGGAAAGGGTTTTTTCCTCGTGTTAAGATCAGACAGGCGCTGCTTCAAGTGCAGCTGGCTGGAATTCCAGGCGTAAATTTGCTTTGCCATTGGGAGGACTTGTCACAATTTACCTTTGACTTTTTGGTAAAACACAGCAGCCATTTTGGTGAGCTGCCTCACTGAAGAAGGAACATTTTGACAAACAGTAATTGTCTTTGTCGTGAAAGTCTCTGGATCACACGCGTGCTGAATAGAGTGCTGTGGGCTGCCTGTCCAGCCCCACGAGGAAAATCTTGTGAGCAAACCCCAGCATTGCTCTACTGTTACCAGCGTAAGCAGGCCAGATGCAGCATGAAGGGAAAGTTGTGTTGTTCCATTCAATATTTATTCCTGTTTTGCTGCTGTATTGTGCTTCAGGTTGACTTCCATCTTGCTGTGGAAAGCACTCCTTTTCTCATGCTCATAAGGTGTGGGTCTGGGGCTTACTTTCCTTTCACTTGTAGCCTCAAGCCTCCATAGATTGTCCATTCAAATTTATCTCTCCTTAGTTGCAGCCGTTGCAGCCTTAGCTTCCTCGCTCAGAGTGTGAAATGTCTCTGCAGTTGTCATTTAGGGATTAGGGAAAAGATGGATAGCACTGAGTCTGAACAGTCCTGGAGAGCTGCAGATTTTGCCCGCCATTAAAATGTTAAATGAGGTGAATGGAAGTGCTGCGTGACGCTCCCATCCCAGCATCCCGTTCAGCGGAGCACGTCATCTTGACTAAGTCCATTTTCTTAAAACATAAGCAAGTAGAGTGCACAGGCTAGGCCTCTTCCAGTTGACATCTCTTTGAAAACTATGCTAGCTAAATGCATGCAAAGGAAAAGGAAAGGATTAGAACAACTCAAATTCCCATGTGTGAGGTTTTGAAATGCATGAGAGCTGTGCGTCAGCCGAACAAAGTTTGCTTGAGTTTTGGCCCTGCAAGGCTGTCTTCCGGTTGGGCCCTGTCCCAAAACCACATGCCCAAATGGCTTTCCCTTCCGAAGGAAAGGGAGTCTCTGTAATCATCAGTCAGTGCAACCGTGGTCTTCCAATTACACCATTTCTTTTCGACTCCAAGCCTAATGCACGTCTCCCTCGTAACCACATCATAAATTTGGTTACTAGAAAGTAGACGATCTTCCATCCTCAGGGATTCGTCACCCCGAAGAAATCAGGACCTGGCTCAATGTTTGGTCTCTGTATCAAAAGCCAGTATTGTCGTAATTGTAAGTTGATTCCTGTGTTTAAGTTGGTCCCTCATTTTCAGCTTCAGTTCTAAGACAAAATGGCTTACTCCCTTTCCCTCCCAGCTATACATCAGTGACTGTAGAAAGTCCTTAAGCTGGTATTGTCCTTAGAAAACCCCCAGGAGAATCGAACAAGTGAGAATAGGATCCAAGTTGTTAAAGGCCTTACAAATATTAAAGCAAGAATTATACTGAAAATAATTCTGATTTCGTTTTCTATTGCAAAACAATGTAAGGACGAAAGTCAAGATTGTGTCCTGGTTGCAGGTTGATACTGTGCATGTGTCGACTGTGACTTTTTTTTTATTTTAAGGGTTTTTTTAATAGCAGGGGAAAAATAGGTCAGCTTATAAGCAACACAGTACCATAGCTACCTCTTTCTTCTGATGTGCATTGGTGTAACTCCACTCACTT